GTTTTTGCTACTGGTGACACTGAGGCACTGACCCTAGTGAAGGCGGAGCTGCAGGAGAGACACACCTGCACTGACCTGGGTGAGCTGCGGAGCTATCTTGGCTTGCAGATCACCCGGGACAGACCACGGCGCACCATCACCCTCACTCAGTCACACATGGTGCACCAGGTCCTTCAGCGTTTCCGCTTCACGTACTCCTCGCCACAGCCCACTCCTCTGGCTACCGGCCACTCGCTCTCAGCTCCACCTTCGGACGAGTCCGTAGAGCCGAGTGGTCCGTACCCAGAGCTTGTGGGTTGCCTCATGTACCTGATGACGTGCACACGACCTGACCTCGCGTACCCTCTCAGCCTTCTGGCTCGCTACGTGGCACCCAGTAGGCACCGAAAGCTGCACTTTGATGCTGCGAAGAGGGTACTGCGTTACTTGTGCAGCACATCGGGCATGGGGCTCGTGCTTGGAGGACGGGGTTCGGTGGTCCTCACAGGACACTCTGACGCTTCTTGGGCCGACGACCAGGCGACTCAGCGTTCGTCAGAGGGCTACACCTTCAGTCTTGGCGCTGGTTCTGTCTCGTGGAGGTCCACTCGTTCTTCTTCTGTGCTTGGTTCCAGTTGTGGGGCCGAGATCTACGCTGGGGCCATGGCTGCACAGGAGCTCCGCTGGCTGACCTATCTGCTGACCGACTTGGGGGAGCGGCCTCGTTCTCCTCCAGTTCTGTACGTCGACAACAAGGCAATGCTTAACTTGTGTCGCGAGCAGAGACTGGAGCACAGGACGAAGCACATTGCTCTGCGCTACTTCCTTGCGCGTGAGCTGCAGCAGCGTGGTCAGCTGCGCCTTGCTTACGTGGCCTCTCGGGCCAACACTGCTGATGTCTTCACCAAGGCCCTTGGGGCTGGTGATCATCAGCGTTTCTGCACTGCTCTTGGGCTTGTGCCCACTCTGCCTCACCTGCTGGTTGCTTGACTTGCTCTTGTTGTACACTGCTATATATCTTTATACCTGCATGTTTACTCTTGCTAGGTTGTGATCGGTGTACTGCCTTGCTATTATAAATCTGCATGTGAACTGGCCTTGTGGCCGCCTGCTTGTGCTCAGATTGTGTGGTGTCCTTGAGATCCACCCTGGGCTTTGCCTTGCTTGTTCTCTTGCTTGACTGGTCTTGTGACCACTGTTAGGTTTGGCTATCCCCTACTTCACCTATGGGGGTGTGTCAAAACACATTGTTCTGTTAATCTTACTCTATGTTCTGTAGGGGTCACAACTTAGAGGGTACAACCCAACTCTCTCGACATCCTTGTACCCCCCCCCCCCTTACCTAATAGAGACATTGCTTCCTAGTATTCGAACACGCGCTTCAGTGGGCGGGCCCATGTTACGTAAGAAAAAAAAAAATTAGGTCCTTAGATCGTTTTACTGCTCTGTACCATGTTAGAATAGTAGCTAAGAAGTTAGGGTTTAGGAAGAGAGAGGTGGCCAAAAGAGAGGGATTGCACTATAGAATGCAATACAACTTATAGGAAACGAGGGAGGCGGTGAAGGGAGGCAGGGCCCTCCCTAGGATTTAGGGCATCCTGATGCCTCAGGGTAACTCTGCAGAATCCAAAAAAATGCCATGATTTTTCAGGGCAATTTTTTTAAGCCATCCTGAATTTTCAGGGCTTAGGCAGAATTACATCCTGACCTCTCAGGGCAAAAAAAACATCAATCAGGGTCCTGCTTTTAGTAATTCTAGCTAGGCCTGACTGACGCCACGACATCATCCGCGTTGGGCATGACTGACTACTAACGAACGAGAGAACCAGCCGAGCTTCAGCAGCGCTGCTACTCTAGCAGGAACACTAGAGAGAGTTGGAGGGAAAGGCACAAGGTTCCCGTGCTCGACCTCCTCCCAGCCCAGCTCATTGAGAGGTCCGAAGGGTTTGGTTTGGTTGTTGGTTGGTTGGTGCGTACGCGTGTCAAGCGATCGGAAGAAGGCGGGAAAAATACACGGTGGAAAAATCCCCAGGGAAAATTTTCAGGGAAAAACCACCCACCCCCCCAACCCCCCCCCCCCCCCCCCCCCTCCCCCCCTCCCCCCCTCCCCCCCTCCCCCCTCCCTCCCCTACCCTCCCCCAAAATTCGCGTCAGGGCAATCCTCGATATTCATCCCGACGCTACAGGGCAAACACTACGGCAATCCTTAAAATTCAGGGCACATCATATAAGAACATCCTGAGAGCTCAGGGTACAAATGACCAGCATTCTGAAATCACAGGGCAAATTGAAAACCGCATCCTGAAATCAGGGTAATCAGGATGTTTTGCCCTGATAACGATGGCCCTGAAGGGAGGTAGACCACCTAAGACAAGATAGGTGATACTACACTAACTAACTAAACATGCAATTATATAAGAATATTACATTCTGACAATATCGATCAATGCACAATGTGTAATCAATGGGGCAGGCGGACAGACTGGTTATTATGGCACCATTCCTCATCTCGGGAGGACACCTACTGGTCCTCATATTCAGAACTTTGCTCTTTTGAATCGACTCAAAAGTCACCTCGGTACAGGAGGGTTTCCTCCAGTGCCCTAGATATCAGACTTTTTAGTCTGATTCAGAGTCCGTTCAGACTGTTTTTTTGTACCTAGTCTGAAGTCTAAGATATTTTTTTATGTACCTTGTCGGATTTTTCAGATTTTTATTTTATGAGTTGTCTGAAATTTCAGCCTAATTTTATTAGTGTAGGCTGAGCCTCAGACTTGTGTCGGGGGTGCACTCTGCGAGCTTATCGGAGCGAAGTTTCCTTGAAGTTTCTTTTCGATATGCCCACTTCCGAGATGGCAGTGGAGTGCCAGGACATGAGCAACGCACACTTCAACAGCTGGGACATCCGAATACACTCATTCGTCGAGAATATATCCCAGTTACACTAAGAAAATGGTTGCGTGATTACGAGATTTCTAAGACAAAATCTCGTCACATGTAAGTTATTGCTAATGTATTGTAAAGAATAGGCGATTTTGATGCTGATTCGTTGTAAAAACATCTGCAGCACGCACTGCTGTGAAATTGCGAATCTCCTGATAAGCGAAAGTTTCGTGCGGCACTGCCAGCCAGATGCTCACACGCCACGCCAAGCAGCAGTTTCTGCCTGCTGCCAGCTCAGTTGCGTGGCACTTGGCCCACCTGGTACGCGACAACAACCAGATCGGGTGAACGATCGCATCGCTTGAAACGCAAATCCAAAATCGACAAAATCGGCAAACAGGCGAGAAAATGGGTACAGAACGGTAATCACACACACGACGAAACGAAATGCGATCAGCAGAAACAACCATGCGCTGCACGTGACAAAAACACCAGAATGCCGCCGACATGAGCAGAGGCGCCGCTGACAAAATTGAAACGTCAGACCTGACGGGAAACCAAAATTGCCCGAGCGCGGCACCGCACAGTTGCGTTGGTATGCTGTAATCAGCTTCAGTGTTTTTATGAATATGCTTTTACGAAACTGCATCATCATCTTAAAATTGAAGGTAACTCTGACAGTTCAGACAAAAAAAGTTGTGCTTGTCTGAATTTTCAGACTAAACTTTTGAGGCACCTCTGACAGACAGAGTTCCAGGAGGGGTGTACACTGATCGATCAGAGTGCCTCAAAACGAATCTAGGGGCCTGGTTTCCTCTTATTCTGAACCTTGCTCCTGCGAATCAGAACTGATACCTTCTCCTTGCTGCTTCTCCTCCCTGAACCCCTCTCCTTCATCAACACCTGCTTCTCCCGTTTCTGCTGCTAGGCTTTCTGACGACTCCCTTCCATTCCATAACACCTCGACACCACTTCCCTCCATCCCACCACTCCCCTCACTCTCTGCCTTCCCTTGCTGTCTCATCTCTGCTTCAGATGACCTTAGCGAATCCCCACAATTCTCCATTCTAGTCTTCTCAACCCCCTCCACAGCTCCCATCCCATCTCTCTCCTCCTCCACTTGCTCAGCCTTCTCCTTGCCCTCTTCCTCAGCCTCGCAATTCCTAAGAGGAACCTCAGAAGCCGCTTCCCCCTCTTCCCCGCCAATCTTTCTGTCCTTTCTCCCGCTCCCACCCTCCCCCACTGCACTCGATCCCTTCTCTCTCCCATTGCCACTCTCACTCTCCCCAACCCCACTTATTTCTTTGTCCCTCCCATTGACACTCTCACTCTCCACAGCCCCAGTTCTCCCCTCGTTCTCCATCAAGGTAGCATCCTCCTTTTGCACTGCAGCAGCGCTGGTTGTTTCTTCAAGTGTCTCTGTTTGCTTCCGCCGCTCCATTCGGCTAAGTATCTCTTTTAAAAAGTCATCCACCCCTTGCTTTTTGACTGCATTGGCATCAGCTGGTGCTGGTGCTGGTGCTGGTGCTGGTGCCGGTGCTGCTTCTTCCTCTGCATTTGCTGCTACCGGCCTTTCTGATTCCGCAACAACAGTATCAGTTGCTGCTGCGTTCGTCGAATTGGCTGGCACTGCATCTGCAGTAGCAACCGCAGCAGCAGAACCACCACCATCACCACCACCACCACCACTGCCATCACCACCACCATCACCATCACCATCACCATCCCCACCATCATCACCACCACCACCAGGGGAAGTAGTAATGGGTGCACTGGTGGCTGTAGCAGCGGCTGTAGCAGCAACTGTAGCAGGGAATGCAGGCGTGGCCTCAGCAGTAGCTTCAGCTGTAGCATCAATTGCAGCATCAGCAGCAGCTGTATCAGCAGCAGGCGCAGCAGCAGGAGTCAAAGCAGAAGCAATGGGGGAGGCATGAGGCATCTGCATCACACGAACGTGAGACGTTTGAGGTGCCTCAAACCGAGAGGAAACAGCATCAGCAGCAACTGTAGCATCAGCACCAGCTGTAGCATCAGTTGTAGCATTAGCACCAGTTGTAGCAGCAGTGCCAGCAGTTACCAAAGCAGATGCAGTGGGGGAGGCATGAGACGCCTGCATCACACGAACGCTGGATTCAACCTTATCCAGCCGTGTGGCCAATCGCGACATGCCACCTGTCACCTGCGCCTCCAGCCTGGCACACACCCTCTCCAATCGCTCCACTCGATGCATGAGAGAGAGGAGGAGGGGAGAGTGAGAGAGGGGGTCTTGGGAGGGAGGAGGGTTAGGAGGGGCGGACAGAGGAGTGAGGGGAGTGTGAGGGGTGTGTGAGGGGAGTGTGTTGGGAGGAAAGGAGGGAAGGGAGGGAGCAGAGGAGGGAGGAGGGCGGAGGGTTTTAGAGGGAGCTGCAAGGGAAGCGAGGAGGAGAGGGAGCATTGATGATGACATGTTACCACCCGGGTTACCACTCGGGTTACCACCCATGTTACCACCCATGTTACCACCCATGTTACCACCCATGTTACCACCCATGTTACCACCCATGTTACCACCCATGTTACCACCCATGTTACCACCCATGTTACCACCCATGTTACCACCCATGTTACCACCCATAATGCCACTCATGTTTCCACTCATCATTCCAGCGATGTTACCATTCAGGTTACCACCCATGTTACCACCAACACTGCCACCCATGCCACCCGCTAAAGCAGCAGGCAGGTTCGGAGGCAGCTTAGCCAGCACCTCTTGAGGCAGCATTGACAACAGGTTCGGAGACAGGCCCGGCAGGAGGTTTGGCGCAGCAACTACTGCTGTTGTTGTCTCTTCTTCTGCAGCAGCAGCAGCACCAGCAGCTGCAGCCGCAGCTGAAACAGAAGCAGATGCAGCAGCAGCGGGGGGGGCGGAGTGAGGCAGAGAGGAGGGAAGGAAGGGGCCAGGGGAGAGTGAGAGACGGAGGGAGTGGATAGAGACTGTAGGCCCTCTGAGACCTAGGAGCTTGAGAGAGAGCGAGGAGAGCCATGCATCGGACAGACATGCCCCTGCCGCTGCTGCTGCCGAGCCTGTTGCCGAGCCTGATGTCGAAGCTGCTTCTGCTTCAGAGCCACAGTCGCTGTGGGAGCAATCGTCTGCTTCTGGGGGAGGTGCGACCTGCAAGAGGAGGGAGTGGAGGGGAGGACGGTTGAAGCCTCCCCCTACTCCTCTCATTGCCCCACCCGTCCCCATTTCCCCTCCCCCTCCTCCTCCCGCTCCCCCTCCCATAGCCCCCGCGGGTTCCCCCCTGACAGTGCACACATACTCCCCCAGATCTTCCCCCCCCGGTGCGCCCTCCCCCTGCCCCGTGCCGCCCTGCCACGTGGCATGAGCTGCGTACAGCTCAGCAAAGCGCGCCGAGGTGACGAGGTGGAGGGAGTGCAGGCGGACAGCGCGGGCGGGGAAGAGCACTGGCGGAAGGTGTAAGATGATGGGGGGAGGGGGGATGCGGGGGAGACAGGGGGAACGGGAGGGAGGGCGAACTGAGGGGGGGAAATGGGGGGCGGAGGGGTTACATAGGGAAAAGGGGGAAGCAGAGGATTCAGAGATAACGGGGAAAAGGCGAGCGGGGAGGAACGCGGAGGAGCGTGCAGGAACGCGGGGCAGGGGATTGGACGGAGAGGGTTGAGGAGAAAACGAAGGGCGGCGCGGAAACTACGAGCTTCAATACCGAGAGAGGGTGCGACAAGAACCAACTTGTTACAAATGAAGGCCTACGTGTCAAGACGCAACCAGACGATCCTTCCTCTCGCTCCAACTCCACCGTTCCGCAGATTCCGCCGTCTCCTCCGCCTCCCTCTCCGGCGCCCTCTCCGCCTTCCACTCCGCCGCCCTCTCCGCCTTCCTCTCCATTCAGCTCCCGGTCGCCTGGTTCCGCGTTTTTTAATTCCTCACACTGTGTTTCTGATACGTGGGTCACGGACGACCAATCGCCGTACGCCACGCGCCACGATGATCGGACGGTTACCTGAAGTCCATCTGCGGATGCATGGATCGGAGCGGCAAGTGCGGAGGGCATACTTGGCTGGCGATGGTTCGGGAAACGCAGTCAGAAGATAGGAAACTCTGGTCGAGCTTGGTGGTTTGTTCCAAATTGCTGTGATGGCGGGAAGTGAAAGAATTACCGATTCATGCTCGTTTTTGGCAGTCTCGTTTGGTGACGGTAATCCAAAATCGCTCATTCGTGTACAGTATCTGACGGAGCATAACGTATCGCGTGAACGTTTTTCCTTACGGAACAGTATTTTGGGGGCAAAAGGATATTCCCGAGGAGATTCGTTTCAGCCCGCCCAATACTGGAGCTCCACCAACCGCAAACTTTCCGCCAGCCCGCACACCATCCAGCGGCCCTCCAATTGGCTGCACGGATTTCCCGCTCCCAGTCCAATGGTATCGCCCTGCGACTGTACAATTATTCGTGCTCCTAGTCCAACCCAATGGCATCAATCGGCGAGCTGTTCGCTTTTCGCAGGTGTACGCAATCTCCGTGTTACGCAGGCACGAAGAGCGTATCAAATGTTACCGTTGACGTCGCTGTTGTTCGCAGGATGTTTTTTTCGCGAAGTCGAGGGTGGGAGTTGTGGAAAGGAGGATTCTAAATCTCCAGCTTCAGAGACACCCTCCTTTCACTTACCTCCAACCCACACCAGCTTTATTACCTCCTCTCTTCCCACCTCCTTCTAGTTCATTCCCTTCTTCAAGGGGCTTCCAGTCTTCCGCGTATCTCTGCCTCTTGTCTCCGGGGTACATAGTTACCCTGTTTTACCTCGCCCTTTCGTCGCACCGCAGCATGGCGAACTGCGTCCTTAGACGGGCCGTCCCGCAACCAATGCTCGCCGCCTCGCCGGCGATCAAAGGGTCGTCTGCTTTTAGAGGCGTTCCCGTCGTCATGCGCGTTGCGCCGAGCCGCGATCTCAAGGGCCGGCTTGTATGGCGCTGCGAGGCTGCAGCTGGCGCTTCGGCGACAGCCGCAGCAGCAGCGACTACCAGCTCCGCATGTAAACTCCGCTCTCCTCGTCCCCCTTTTTAGAACCCTGTATTGTTCAACGAACATGGTTGCTTTTATTGTTCTACACTATTCTGACAATGCCACGTCAGGCATTTTACACAATCTGGTAACTCAGTTGCAGGCAGGAACGCAGCCCATTCACGAAACTTTTACTTTGCTCAAAGTCGCATTCTCCCGTAAGAGTCTAGTAGGCTCCTTCTAGCAGTCCTAAATGGGTTCCCGCCACTTTCAAGTTCAACCCTAGACTTCTGTCCTGAATCTTGCCAACGCTGCGCGCTCTATCCCACCAACCAGTTCCAGACGCACCACCGAGGAGAGAAGTTCTAGTCGACTAGAAACAAAAACAAAACCGCTTTTGCCTCCTCGCAGACCGATCGCCCCTCCCTCCCCTCCCCTCCCCCCCTCACCTAAACACACACACCCCGTGCTTGTGTAGCTCGTCATTCCCATTCACCATCCTCTCTTCCCTTACGTCGCTCCTGCCCCCCAATCTTCATTGCCCCTGTCCACGGCAGCGTCGCAGGCGACAGCGTCGTCAGCAGGGAGGAGTCGCCAGCGCGACAATGTGCGACTGGCGCTGCCGAGTAAAGGTCGCATGGCGGAAGACACGCTCGCGCTCCTCAAGGTACGACCCCGCGCGCTGCCTCGCTCTCAGACGCGGTTTCCTTACTATCTCTACTCATCATCTCATCTTCCGTACAAACCTTACGTATCATTCGTACATATCGTCTTTGTCCTATCTCCACGTATCATCTCCCTAACCATGCATGCGCGCACGTCCTCCTATTCTCGTGATCTTAAAGCTTCCTCCCCACCTCCTTATCCCGCGCACCGTTTTCACCCTGCGAAAATGGTGATGCAGGAGTGCGAGCTGACCGTGCGAAAGCCGAACCCTCGCCAATACATCGCCGAGATCTCCGAGGTGCGTGAGTGCGTGCTTGCGTGCGCGGGGCTAGTCTAGACAGCTGCGCGCGCGCATGCTAGCTGGGCTGGACGTGTGCGTGCGTGTGTGCGTGCGTGCTGCGTTTGAAGCTAACCGCTATGTGCTCGCTGTACCAATGTGCGTGCGTTATGGAGCGAGGGTTCTGGGCTTTAGATTGTGCGTTTTTTCCGCACACCCACTCCCACCTTCCCCTCACCCACCCGCACCCACACCTCCCCCTCTCCCTCCCCCCTTCACCCTTTCCCCCGAACAGATTGAGGGCCTGGAGGTGTGGTTTCAGCGCGCGTCGGACTGCGTGAGGAAGCTGCTGAGCGGTTATACAGCCCTCCCTGACCCGCTCTTACTCCCCCCCCACACCCAACCCCCCCCTCTGATCCAACCCCCTACCCCCACCCCTCCTCCCCACCTCCACTCAGATCGAGGGGTTGGAGGTGTGGTTTCAGCGCGCGTCGGACTGCGTGAGGAAGCTGCTGAGCGGCCGGTGGCGCACCCCTTCCTGAGCCCCATTACTCCTCCCCCCACATCCACCCCCACCCGCACCTTTGCACAACCCCCCTTCCCCCTCTTCCCCCCGCCCTCCCTGTGACAGATTGAGGGCCTGGAGGTGTGGTTTCAGCGCGCGTCGGACTGCGTGAGGAAGCTGCTGAGCGGTGACGTGGACATGACTATCGTGGGATACGACATGGTGAAGGAGTATGGCAAGGTGCGTACATTGGAGATTAAAGACATTGTGGAAAGGAATATGGCACCACATGGCTGAGATAAGGGGCACGCACGTGGACATGACGATTGTGGGCTATGACATGGTGAAGGAGTATGGCAAGGTGCGTACATTGGAGATTAAAGACATTGTGGAAAGGAATATGGCACCACATGGCTGAGATAAGGGGCACGCACGTGGACATGACGATTGTGGGCTATGACATGGTGAAGGAGTATGGCAAGGTGCGTACATTGGAGATTAAAGACATTGTGGAAAGGAATATGGCACCACATGGCTGAGATAAGGGGCACGCACGTGGACATGACGATTGTGGGCTATGACATGGTGAAGGAGTATGGCAAGGTGCGTACATTGGAGATTAAAGACATTGTGGAAAGGAATATGGCACCACATGGCTGAGATAAGGGGCACGCACGTGGACATGACGATTGTGGGCTATGACATGGTGAAGGAGTATGGCAAGGTGCGTACATTGGAGATTAAAGACATTGTGGAAAGGAATATGGCACCACATGGCTGAGATAAGGGGCAGACACGTGGACATGACGATTGTGGGCTACGACATGGTGAAGGAGTATGGCAAGGTGCGTACGGCGGAGATTCAATACATCAGGATGACACAGTAGGGTGTGGCATGGCAGGCATGAGTGTGGCAAGGAGTGGCGGGAATTATGGGCTGTAAGTAAATATAGTGGAAGGCGCAACTGACAGTCAGGATTGGTATGGTATTGAGGAGAAGAAAGCAAGGCTGACGAATGGAAGAGGGAGACGGGACTGCTGTGCAAACGAATGAATGAGAAGCGCCTTCTTCACATGACCCCATGGCCACATCACCCCATGGCCACATCACCCCATGGCCACATCACCCCATGGCCCCATCACCCCATGGCCCCATCACCCCATGACCCCATCACCCCATGGCCCCATCACCCCATGGCCCCATCACTCCATGACCCCATCACCCCATGACCCCACACGTAACACTGTCATCATGCATGACTTTCCCTTTCCCCTTCCCACCTCTCACCCTCCTTTACTCTCCTCGCCCCTTCCCCCTTCCGCTCTACTCTCCCCCTCCCGCTTTTCCCCTTCCGCTCTCCTCTCCCCCTTCCGCTTTTCCCCTCTCTCTCTCTCTCGTCGCCCCTCCGCACACACACCAGGACGACCCCAACCTGGTCATCGTGCACGACTCCCTTGGCTTCGGCAAGTGCCACCTCAGCATTGCCGTGAGTGCCACCTCAGCATTGCCATGAGTGCCACCTCAGCATTGCCATGAGTGCCACCTCAGCATTGCCGTGAGTGCCACCTCAGCATTGCCATGAGTGCCACCTCAGCATTGCCGTGAGTGCCACCTCAGCATTGCCATGAGTGCCACCTCAGCATTGCCGTGAGTGCCACCTCAGCATTGCCATGAGTGCCACCTCAGCATTGCCGTGAGTGCCACCTCAGCATTGCCATGAGTGCCACCTCAGCATTGCCGTGAGTGCCACCTCAGCATTGCCATGAGTGCCACCTCAGCATTGCCGTGAGTGCCAACTCCCCAGTCCATCTCAGTATAGCTGATGCACTGGGTTACAAACGGTAACCTTGATTTTCTGCTTTCCAACGTGCTCCCTCCTTCCTTGACCGACGCATGTCTGGGAATTGGTAATGTCACATGCCCATGCCACAACGCACGTCTGGGAATTGCTAATGTCACATGCCCATGCCACAACGCACGTCTGGGAATTGGTAATGTCACATGCCCATGCCACAACGCACGTCTGGGAATTGGTAATGTCACATGCCCATGCCACAACGCACGTCTGGGAATTGGTAATGTCACATGCCCATGCCACAACGCACGTCTGGGAATTGGTAATGTCACATGCCCATGCCACAACGCACGTCTGGGAATTGGTAATGTCACATGCCGATGCCACAACGCACGTCTGGGAATTGGTAATGTCACATGCCCATGCCACAACGCACGTCTGGGAATTGGTAATGTCACATGCCCATGCCACAACGCACGTCTGGGAATTGGTAATGTCACATGCCCATGCCACAACGCACGTCTGGGAATTGCTAATGTCACATGCCCATGCCACAACGCACGTCTGGGAGTTGGTAATGTCACATGCCCATGCCACAACGCACGTCTGGGAGTTGGTAATGTCACATGCCCATGCCACAACGCACGACTGGGAATTGCTAATGTCACATGCCCATGCCACAACGCACGACTGGGAATTGCTAATGTCACATGCCCATGCCACAACGCACGTCTGGGAATTGGTAATGTCACATGCCCATGCCACAACGCACGTCTGGGAATTGGTAATGTCACATGCCCATGCCACAACGCACGTCTGGGAATTGGTAATGTCACATGCCCATGCCACAACGCACGTCTGGGAATTGCTAATGTCATATGCCCATGCCACAACGCACGTCTGGGAGTTGGTAATGTCACATGCCCATGCCACAACGCACGACTGGGAATTGCTAATGTCACATGCCCATGCCACAACGCACGACTGGGAATTGCTAATGTCACATGCCCATGCCACAACGCACGACTGGGAATTGGTAATGTCACATGCCCATGCCACAACGCACGTCTGGGAATTGCTAATGTCACATGCCCATGCCGCAACGCACGTCTGGGAATTGCTAATGTCACATGCCCATGCCACAACGCACGTCTGGGAATTGGTAATGTCACATGCCCATGCCACAACGCACGTCTGGGAATTGGTAATGTCACATGCCCATGCCACAACGCACGTCTGGGAATTGGTAATGTCACATGCCCATGCCACAACGCACGTCTGGGAATTGGTAATGTCACATGCCCATGCCACAACGCACGTCTGGGAATTGCTAATGTCACATGCCCATGCCACAACGCACGTCTGGGAGTTGGTAATGTCACATGCCCATGCCACAACGCACGTCTGGGAGTTGGTAATGTCACATGCCCATGCCACAACGCACGACTGGGAATTGCTAATGTCACATGCCCATGCCACAACGCACGACTGGGAATTGCTAATGTCACATGCCCATGCCACAACGCACGTCTGGGAATTGGTAATGTCACATGCCCATGCCACAACGCACATCTGGGAATTGCTAATGTCACATGCCCATGCCACAACGCACGTCTGGGAATTGGTAATGTCACATGCCCATGCCACAACGCACGTCTGGGAATTGGTAATGTCACATGCCCATGCCACAACGCACGTCTGGGAATTGGTAATGTCACATGCCCATGCCACAACGCACGTCTGGGAATTGGTAATGTCACATGCCCATGCCACAACGCACGTCTGGGAATTGCTAATGTCATATGCCCATGCCACAACGCACGTCTGGGAGTTGGTAATGTCACATGCCCATGCCACAACGCACGACTGGGAATTGCTAATGTCACATGCCCATGCCACAACGCACGACTGGGAATTGCTAATGTCACATGCCCATGCCACAACGCACGACTGGGAATTGGTAATGTCACATGCCCATGCCACAACGCACGTCTGGGAATTGCTAATGTCACATGCCCATGCCGCAACGCACGTCTGGGAATTGCTAATGTCACATGCCCATGCCACAATGCACGTCTGGGAATTGGTAATGTCACATGCCCATGCCACAACGCACGTCTGGGAATTGCTAATGTCACATGCCCATGCCACAACGCACGTCTGGGAATTGCTAATGTCACATGCCCATGCCACAACGCACGTCTGGGAATTGGTAATGTCACATGCCCATGCCACAACGCACGTCTGGGAATTGGTAATGTCACATGCCCATGCCACAACGCACGTCTGGGAATTGGTAATGTCACATGCCCATGCCACAACGCACGTCTGGGAATTGGTAATGTCACATGCCCATGCCACAACGAAAGCAAAAACGAGCATGTTTTGAGATGTCTCAAAACACTACTTCAAACGTCTGGGAAAGCAAAAACGAGCATGGAAATTCCCCTCCCTCCTCCTCAAATTCAGGTACCATCATATGGCATATTTGAGAAAATTAACTCCAGCCTCGACCTCATCATCATGCCACCCCTGTGGCCTGCCTGCTGTTGCCTGTATCACTAATGTCGGTGCCCCTGTGGTCTGTCTGTCCCCCTCCCTGCGGTTCGGTTCCCAACTCCCTACTTTTCCCTGCCATTACCATCGCCGTTTGCTTACCCTTCCAGGTGCCGTCATACGGCATATTCGAGCGAGTCAACTCCATTCAAAATCTCATCGCCATGCCTCCCCACTTCGGCTGCTGCTCGTGCCACTAATGCCACTAAGCCACTAATGTCACCTGTCCCCCTCTCTGCCATCGCTGTCCCATCTCCCTGTCCTCCCCTTTCCCTTCCAGGTGCCGTCATACGGCATATTCGAGCGAGTCAATTCCATTCAAGATCTCATCGCCATGCCTCAGTGGTCCGCTGACAACCCCCTCCGTATAGTCACAGGCTACACCCATGTGAGTCTGTCCCTCCCTCGTTGTAGTCTCAAGCTACACTTATGTGAGTTGGTCTGCTGACAACCCCCTCCGTATAGTCACAGGCTACACCCATGTGAGTTGTCCCTCCCTCGTTATAGTCTCAAGCTACACTTGTGTGAGTTGCCCCTCGTTATAGTCACAGGCTACACGCATGTGAGTTGGTCCCGTCGTATTACTCATGTGCTAACCTGTCACCATGCCACCTCTCATCTCCCTTCCCCCCCTTCCCTCCCCCTTCCCTCCCGCACTCACCTGCACCTAGGCCGCCGCTTCATTGATCAGCTCGGCTTCCCCCACGTGGACCTGGATGGTGGACTTGTGTCACGCCGTTCCCTTGCTTACTCTTCCCTTCGTCCTCCCCTCCCCTTTTCCCCTTCGCATGTCTGCAGCTAGGTCGCCGTTTCTTTGACCAGCTTGGCTTCCCCCACGTGCACCTCTCCACAGCTGATGGCGCCCTCGAGGCTGCTCCCGCGGTGAGTTAGAAGCTGCCCCTGTGGTGAAGTGAAGGGTCTGTTGAAGTCTTTCTCAATTGTTCCCGCCACCCCCACCCCCTCCCACACCTCTCCTTCCCCCACGTGCACCTCTCCACGGCTGATGGCGCCCTTGAGGCTGCCCCTGCTGTAAGTTGAAAGAAAGGGTTGCTGAGCTGTTTCCTTATTGCCCCCTCACCACCACCACCACCACCACCGCCACCACCACCACCACCACCACCACCACCACCACCACCACCACCACCACCACCACCACCACCGCCACCGCCACCGCCACCGCCACCGCCACCGCCACCGCCACCGCCACCGCCACCGCCACCGCCACCGCCACCGCCACCGCCACCGCCACCGCCACCGCCACCGCCACCGCCACCGCCACCGCCACCGCCACCGCCACCGCCACCGCCACCGCCACCGCCACCGCCACCGCCACCGCCACCGCCACCGCCACCACCACCACCACCACCACCACCACCACCACCACCACCACCACCACCACCACCACCGCCACCGCCGCCGCCGCCGCTTTCCCCACCAATCCTGCTGTCCCTTTCTGTAATACCAACCCCCACCCCTCTCCTCTTCTCCCCCCTTCCCCCTATTGCTCCGGGTCACCGGGTGTCATTCTGGATCCCTCGCATCCCTTACCCCCATCCTGCTATCCCTTCCCCTCGTCTCTCTCGTTCAGACGGGCTTGGCAGACTCCGTTCTTGGTCTAGTCAGCACAGCCACGTGTCTGCCTCTCCGCCTTCCTCCCCCCTCCATGAAAGCGCGTTTCAGAATTGTCAAGCAACGCCCTTGCCTCTTCCCCACATCCCCTACCCCCATCCTGCTATCCCCTCCCCTCCGCTCCTCCCCTTCCGCCCCTCCCCCTCCGCTCCTCCCCCTCCGCTCCTCCCCCTCCGCTCCTCCCCCTCCGCTCTCCTTCTCTGTTTTCTCCAGATGGGCACAGCAGACGCCATTCTGGATCTGGTCAGCACAGGCACGTCCTCACCTCTTCCAACCCCTTCCCCCCTCCCCCCCCTCCTCGCTCCAGATGGGCACGGCAGACGCGATTCTGGACCTGGTCAGCACAGGCACGACGCTCAAGGAGAACAACTTGAAAGAGCTCAAGGGGGCGGACGTGCTCAAGAGCCAGGTGAGACTGAAAAGGAGGGGCTTGTATGGGGTATGAAGTGTTGTTGGTCGATCAGCCATTTCTAGCCCACTTCTGTCCCCCTCCCCTCCCCTCCCCTCCCCTCCCCTCCCCTCCCCTCCCCTCCCCTCTCCTTCCGTTTCCATATGGTAACGGAAGAAGCTTCCATACTGCTTCCCCTCCCCGGCGTGTTGGTGGTGAGCCGGCAGACATTGAAGAAGCCGTTTCTGGGGAAAAGAAAATAAAAGAAAATAAAATAAAATAAAAGATATTAAAAGAATAGAAACAGAAAAGAAAAGAAAAGAAACAGAAAAGAAAACCAAGAAAAACAAAACTCCTATCTATTTCCAGCCCCTCCTCTCCTCTCCGCTCTCCGTCCCCTCTGTTCCATGTGAGGGAGGGCATGTTTGTGGTAAATTCTTTGAATTTAATTCTTCCTCTTCCTTACCATCCCCTCCCATCCCATCCCCTCCCATCCCATCCCATCCCCTCCCATCCCATCCCCTCCCCTCCCATCCCATCCCCTCCACTCCCCATCCCTCCCCTCTTCTCCCCCCCTCTCCCTTCTCTCCCGTTTATCTTGTGTCCACGTGGCAGGGCGTGTTTGTGGTGAGCAGGAGGGCGTTGGAGGAGAGGGAGGGGCTGCTGGGGATGACCAAGGAGATGCTGGAACGCATTGAGGCGCACCTGTGCGCGCGCGACCAGTACATTGTGAGTGAGATGAGATGGCACCGGGGCATGGGAGATGAAACGAGGGGTTTGTGAGATGAAACCAGGGTAGTGGGAGATGAAACCCTGTGCTTTGTGGCATGGTGTGGCACAGCAGCACAGCAGGTTGTGGGGGGGCATTGTGGGGGTGGAGAGTTGGGGGGAGGGGGAGCACAGGAGGGCGTTGGAAGAGAGGGAGGGGCTGCTGGGGATGACCAAGGAGATGCTGGAACGCATTGAGGCTCACCTGTGCGCGCGCGACCAGTACATTGTGAGATGACACAGAGTCATGGGAGATGAAACGGGGCATTGGAGTTGAAGCGAGTACAGTTTGAGATGATTCCAGTACAGTGCATTGTGAGATGACACAGTTTGAGATGATACTAGACCAGTACATGGTGTGATGATACAGGTACATTGAGGTCACTTTTTAGTCGACTCAAAAGTCACCTCAGGTCATGGGCACGGTGACAAGCGCATCAGAAATAGGATTTCTAACTCGCCTCTCTTACATCTCTTCACTCCTCTGCACTCCTTTGCACTCCTCTCTACTCCTCTCTTCAGGTGACGGCGAACATGAGGGGGCTATCAGAGGAGGACGTGGCACACAGAGTGCTCGAGAACACCTCCTTCCCTGGCCTGCAGGTGAGAACACCTCCTTCCCTGGCCTGCAGGTGAGCACACCTCCTTCCCTGGCCTGCAGGTGAGAACACCTCCTTCCCTGGCCTGCAGGTGAGAACACCTCCTTCCCTGGCCTGCAGGTGAGAACACCTCCTTCCCTGGCCTGCAGGTGAGCACACCTCCTTCCCTGGCCTGCAGGTGAGAACACCTCCTTCCCTGGCCTGCAGGTGAGCACACCTCCTTCCCTGGCCTGCAGGTGAGCACACCTCCTTCCCTGGCCTGCAGGTGAGAACACCTCCTTCCCTGGCCTGCAGGTGAGAACACCTCCTTCCCTGGCCTGCAGGTGAGCACACCTCCTTCCCTGGCCTGCAGGTGAGAACACCTCCTTCCCTGGCCTGCAGGTGAGAACACCTCCTTCCCTGGCCTGCAGGTGAGCACACCTCCTTCCCTGGCCTGCAGGTGAGAACACCTCCTTCCCTGGCCTGCAGGTGAGAACACCTCCTTCCCTGGCCTGCAGGTGAGAACACCTCCTTCCCTGGCCTGCAGGTGAGCACACCTCCTTCCCTGGCCTGCAGGTGAGAACACCTCCTTCCCTGGCCTGCAGGTGAGCACACCTCCTTCCCTGGCCTGCAGGTGAGCACACCTCCTTCCCTGGCCTGCAGGTGAGAACACCTCCTTCCCTGGCCTGCAGGTGAGAACACCTCCTTCCCTGGCCTGCAGGTGAGCACACCTCCTTCCCTGGCCTGCAGGTGAGAACACCTCCTTCCCTGGCCTGCAGGTGAGAACACCTCCTTCCCTGGCCTGCAGGTGAGCACACCTCCTTCCCTGGCCTGCAGGTGAGAACACCTCCTTCCCTGGCCTGCAGGTGAGAACACCTCCTTCCCTGGCCTGCAGGTGAGAACACCTCCTTCCCTGGCCTGCAGGTGAGAACACCTCCTTCCCTGGCCTGCAGGTGAGAACACCTCCTTCCCTGGCCTGCAGGTGAGAACACCTGTCCTCCGTCCTTTGCCCTTAACCTCTTCTCCGTCGCCTCTTCTCCGTCGCCTCTTCTCCTTCGCCACCTTTCCTTCTCCCCTTTCCTTCGCCTCTTCTCCTTCGGCCCTTCCCCTTATCCCCTTTCCTCCTTCTCCACACCCCACACCCCCCGCTCTCCACCCCCCCACACCAGGGTCCCACCATCTCACGAGTGTACTCGCGGGGTGACGACTCGTCAGATGGCGCAGCGGGCATCAAGGTGGATTACTTCTCAGCCACTGTCGTGGTGCCGCGCGCCCAGATCTACAAGTCTATCAGAGAGCTGCGCAAGGTGAGACTAGTGGATTCGGAGGAGCGTAGAGTGGTTGAGAGCGGTGATGTGTGAAGGTGGATTACTTCTCAGCCACCGTGGTGGTGCCTCGTGCCCAGATCTACAAGTCTATGAGGGAGCTGCGCAAGGTGGGGTGTTTGAGGGAGTGTCGAGTGGTTGGGAGCGGTGATTAGTCAAGGTGGATTATTTCTCAGATCTACACATCCATCCACGAGCTGCGCAAGGTGGGGTGGTTAAGGGGAGCAGGGGGGAAGGGCGGAAAGGGAGGGCCATAGAGGGGCGGGAGGCTGCTTGTGATGGCGCCTTGTGCACAGATCTACAGGTCCATCCGGGAGCTGCGCAAGGTGGGGTGGTTAAGCTGGGAAGGTTTGGTAAGCCTAGGAAGGTTATGTGGTTCTGGCGAATATGGGTGGTGAGTTGGGATGAGGGATGTGGGGTGAGTAGGGATGATTGACGTGGGGTGAGTAGGGATGAGAAAGGTGGGGTGTTAGCAATTAGAAAAGTGGGTCAATCGGGCTGGGGAAGGTGGGATAATCGGGGAGCTTTGGGCTGGAGTGGCGGGTGGTGAGAGCAAGTTGGTTGTTGTTTGTTGGGAGAGGGGGAGGGGAGTTAGGGTGGTGTAGGGTGGTGAGGTAGCATTCAAGATTCACTATTTTCTAAGCTGCCATGGACGGTGCGCCAAACTAACAGATTTGTTGTGCCACACTAACGTCTTGAGGCCTCTGTGTTACCGTACCTTATTCCATTTACCATTTTCGATTCTTCAATGCAGGCTGGTGGAAGTGGAGTGCTGGTAACACCTGTTACATATATTTTCGATGAAGAGCCTAAGCGTTGGAAGAAGCTGCTCAGCGAAATCGGTCTTTAGGTTGCGTGGTATTTCAAACACAAGGCTAGATTCCTTTCGAAATGCCGTTTTTGTGAGATTGAAATGGGAGCAGTCCGGGTGGTTGTGCGCAGCAACCATGATCAGCTTTAGAAAAAAGAGGCTTCTTAGAGCAGGCTGAAGTACCTTAGCTGAAAGCCCGAGTCTAGAATGGCCAACCACCGCACATCCCAATTTGAGATACCTTAGCTGTGCATGTGTCGACCCTAAACTTCTACCATGTCCAGATGTGAGCTGCTATGGTTCTTTACGGTGTAAGATCCACCAATCACGTACTTGTCGAGTTTGTTGGGAGCCTTTGTCAAGTGTAAATTGTAATATTGCTGCGATCTTGCAGTGTTGCCCATGCATATTTTTGACTGGCCACGCCCACTCTTTAATTGATTCCTTGTAGCATATTCAATATTGTTTCTCTATTGCATGTAATAGATCACTTACAGAAATGGGTTCCGGGTGTATTGATGCACGTGCACGTCGTCACCACTTGAGCATGCCGAGGTGGATTTCCGCCAGCAAGGCGAAGCAAGACACACAGAATTGACCCAGCGTGAAGACTCACAGCACGACAATTTCAGCCAATGAAAAACGGAATACGACGTTGACTTGGCCAGCTCCGTCACGAACTGGCGTGAGCCGTAAAAGTCTTCCAGGCAGCTGGAATTGAGTCACACCGTGCTGGCATGCCATGTCAGCGCAGACCACCGCAATGCCAAGCACCCTAGTGGACCGCGCCGCGCAGTGGCTTTCCTTCCCATCCCCTCCCCACCCCGCACCATTCTTGCATCCCCCAGCAGCAATTCAAGATAAATTTGTTGGGCCTCGTCTTTCCTCCCACACAATTTTCAAGCTTTCTCTCACTGCACCTAGTGTTCTTGTTTATTCGCGACACTCTAGTTCCCAGCATCACCTTTCAATAACTTCACGTAAAGATTTACTGAGCTTCCGCAATTCCATCTTGTGAGATCACTCTCAGCGTCCGCCCGCAATTTCAAGGAAATCTCGCATTTTGAAATGGCTGAGCAGCAGGTTCCGAGCATGCAGGCCATGAATGCTGGAAGTTTCAACGCAGCTCCACCACCACCCCAGTACGCCGCACCAGCGCCTGCGCCAAGCAATTCGGCGGGGTGTTGTGCGGACGGGTGCTGCGAGAACAACAAGCGGTCCCCGCTGTACACGTGGCTTCCTTTCGGCCTTCGCATCGGCCTCTTCTTCTTCTGCCTCATCGCTTTCAGGTGCGCTCGTCGCCTGAATTAACTCACAATGTTTCATTCACCTGCTCAATCCCAGTCGAGTTTTTTTTACCTTCAAACGATTTCATTAAATTGCGCACCCACTTAGTTTTCCATATTCCATTATCAGCATATTGCATTTCTTCCTCTCTGTTTTGTTTTGTTTTTTTCCTCCGCGGTCTCTGCTTCACGACCAAGGCGGCAGTGACGGGGTACAGCGCCGGCGCGTTTCTCACAATTTGATTCCCCATTTCATTCTTGCTCTTCCTCTTACAACAGTCTGCTGTTCGCGACCAAGGCGACAGTGACGTCGTACAGCGCGGGCGCGTTTCTGGCGGGAATGAGCATTCTGGGGTTCATATTCGCCGTCATGCTCCTCGTCTACAACTCCGTGCGCATGTGCGTCGCCGGCTCCGAGTCCTACGATTGGCTGATGGACATCGTGCAGTTCTTCGAGTCCTACGTGAGTCCCTCGAGCCGCGTGAGGTGATTGAACCTTTGAACTATGCGAATCCTACGTGAGTCCCTTCTATCCGTGAAAGCTACGTGAGTCCAATGGAACCCTCGGGACCGGCGTGAGTCTATCAAATCATTACTGACCGTTGAATCGCATAATTAGTACCGGGTGAATCAACTAGTTTTCACTATCCTTTGTGAACACATAAGAATCCATTGTTTCTGTTCAACCCCTCCCCACCCCCGATTCAACAGATTATGTCCCTTTTGTTGTTCGCGGCCGCCACGTCCGCAGCAGCTGCGTGCAACACGTGGTATAACACCAGCGCTTTGAGCAAGTACGTTCCCCTTTGGCATAACTACAGTAAAGAAAGAAATATACAAAAACTTCGAACCTACCAACACACTCGAGCAAGCTATGAATGATCCAGAAGTTTTCGCGGTTTTGCATTTTCCAAAATTTTCTTTCCTCTCTCCCCGTCTTGCAGTTTCCTTCTTGGAGATTACGACAGCATCAGCACCAAGGACTTTCTCGCCTCATTGAGCATCACCTTGACACTCCCTGCCTCTCCAAAAGACTATCCAGCCTTTATCAATCAATACATTGATGGCATTAACGCGGATCTGAGCAAGGTTCGCGGTGCGTGCGCCATGGCGTATTTCGCTGCCTTCATCTACATTGCCATGTTCTGGTACTACACCATCCGCATGTACAAGCGCGGTGTGCTCAAGGCCATTGCAGATGCGGCTGTACCAGCAGCAGTCAAGGACAGCGTGCCTCCTTACAACGTTTGAAACTCTCTCATATTTTCCTTCGTAGTATGTATTTATTAGGTGTATTTGTTGCTGGGGGAGTGGAATGCTTGTCACACGGGGTTCTGTTCTGTGCCACTGCTGGTGCATCTTGTTTGCTTTGGTTGGGCTTTAGTTCAGAGGCAATCAGAGCATAACAATGCTTATCCGGGCCCACCAGGGTTCTGCTGCCTCCCTGTAGATATATTAGTTTGTTTGATATGACTTTGCACCTGTTTCTTCTTCTGTTGAAGGCAAGTAAAGATGCTTCACATTGGCACCTCCGTAAACATGGTAATGATTGTGAAGCTAACAGAACCACGACACAGTGCTCAGCACATGCAAGTGCTTTTCTTGGCTATTATATTCTTGAATGCCCTGCTACTACTACCGCTAATTTTGTGCCTATATAAGCTCTACACTACAGGTTGTGGTTGCCACATCACAGCTTGCAACACAGCACACCACAGGTTATTCTCCTCCTGCTACTACCGCTGCTCCTGCTGCTGCTGCTGCTTTTGCTTCTGTTGCTTCCTATTCTGCTTGTCCACTGAAGCTCTTGGCTACTCTTGAGTCTACTAAGAACCCTCCCAGCCCTTCCGCTCGCCTCTGTTACTCCAGTCCAGATGGAGCTACCCTTCCCCCCTCCCCTTCTCCTATGCAGAGGACTTCTTTCTGAATCAGTGCCCCTCCAGACCTCCCTTCACCAACCCCATGCCGCCTGCTTCTCTTCCCTCCTGTCCTGGGGAACCATCCTTTCCCCCCTCCTCTCCCACCTCCTCCTCCCCTCCTTCCCCCACATGCCCTCCCCTCCTCCTCTGCAGGTGATGGCTCGCCTTGCTTGTCCAACTCAACACATCCTTATCCCTGACACCTCCCTGACACCTTCCTAACACATCCCTGACACCTCTTTGACACTTGCCTGACACATCCCTCCTCTAAACTGCTGTGCACGACCGGAAGAGGAAACTTCAGATCCTAAACCCAGTCCCTTGTGGCAATTCACGTTCCTCAGACCTCACCCAGACCTCGCCACCTCACCCAAACCTCATAGAGACCTCACCCAAGCCTCACCCAGAACTCACCCGCACCTCACCCACAACCTAATCCTTCTCCGCGCCTTTGGGAACTTTATGATGCAACGTGCCTCCTTACAACGTGTGAAATGGATTCCTTTATTAACATGGCTTCTTGTAGTATGCCGGCACGCACAGCAGAGCGCACGCGCCAGCACACACACCAGCGCGCGTGCCAGCACGTGCAGCAACGCGCACGTCATCACGTACTGTAGCGCGCACGCATAGTGTGCCCACTAGCGTGCGCAGCAGCACGCAGCAGGAGCACGCCAGAAGCGCGTAGGCCGCCAGCGCGCGCACTAGCAGCACGCTCGCCGCCAGCATGCACGCTAACAGCAAATGCACCAGCAGCGTGCACGCCAGCGGCGCGCGTCCGCTGCTCGAGCCCACTAGCCAGCAGCTACACCATAGTGTTCCCCTTGGATTGGAAGGCCAACGTTCCTGATGCTATGCTCACGTGGTTAGTAGCCACTCGCACCGAGCGCGCCGTGCATGTGCTTCGTCTGCACTCCGACCGTGGTGGTGATTTTACCTTTTACTGACTTGCCCTGTTCCACGCTGTTGGCCTAAACAACATGGCCCAAAAAATCCAGGCGGGTCCTGTAGAAACTCACACTTTGAAACCTTCGTGGATAGGCGGTTCTCAGCTAAAATCTTGAAAACATCATTGATGTCCTCTAAGTGTTGTGTTCTGTCGGGGTTGTAAATCAGTACGCCGTCTATCTACAAAATGACGCACTTATCTAAAAGAGGGCGGAAAGACTCGTTCATTGTCATTTGAAATGTCGCGGTGGCATTGGTCAGTCCAAAGGGCATTATCGTGTATCCGTAGCGGGTACGGAAAGCAAGTTTTGGGCAGTCGGACAGATTGTCGCGGATCTTGCGGTAACCTCCCCGAAGGTCGATTTTGAGAAGATGGGGGCTGTGCGAAGTTGGTCAATAAGATCATCAGCTCGCAGGATCAAGTAACGCAATTTGTTCATAACTCTGTTTGGTCGTCAATACACATATGAAATTCACTGCCTTTTTTTTGGTGTGAACAGTATGGGTACCGTGAATGGTGACTAACTCGGACGAATTGATTTTTTCTCGAACAGCCAATCCACGTGCTTCCGAATCTCGTCCAATTCGGAATGGTTCAGTTGAACTGTCAATGTACTGCCGGTTGTGCCCCCGTTTCTAGTTGGATACTGTGGTCGTGCGGTCGCTGAGGTGGCAACCCGTCTAGCAGGTCATCGGGAAAAATCTCTCGTTACCAAGTCATCTGGTATGTCAGCGACCAGTTTCTGTAAATCGCTCGGCTGCTCTGCTGCCTTGGCTTCCCGAATGTCAACAACATATACGTCAGCTTGCCGCTACGGCGCGTTTCATTGTGATGGCGTTGACTCGAACTGACGATGACTCAGGCGAGCTCCAACGAGATAAGGCG